TTTAGTGTATGACCTATCAAATAGTTATTTTGTGTCTTATTAGCGCATGCGCTATCTCGCGTACCGAGCAACACAAGTTTCAACGACACCTAATCATAATTTTCCACTATGTACCGCAAAGAGAAGCCTTTAATTTTGAAAAGCAGCGCATCTTCGCTTACGAACAACCTTTCTGTGTTGGTTGCTTTGGAGAAAGGAGTCCTGAACTATGCCGTCGTCCATAAAGCTGTTGTCAACATTATATCGGCATCAACTGATGGATCCACAGTCAATAGCAGAAACATCGTCTGCAAAGAACCTTCGGCGGCCCAGCAGAGCACACCAATGATTATACAAGTATATATTTCATTGTGTCAAAGTAATAATTACTATCTATGTATTCAATGAAGATTTCAGATATAAAGAAACTTTAATTCGAATTTCCTCGATGCATTGATTGGTCCATGTACAGGTCCAGTACAATCACTAGATTTAGTTACGTAGGTAGAATTACCTACGTAGCTATATTTCCCTACCTCAGGTAGCTTTATTTAGCTATTTCAAGGTAAGTTTTCAAACGTTTTCTTTTTATGAAAAAGAGACAAAAGGTCGCAATGAAATGACTATTGATATTTATAATAGGGAGGCTTTAAAAAACAATTCAAAGCAGAGATAGTTTATACATTGCTGCGTTTGGACAATTTAGAGCAAAACATGTAATTCCATTGTTTGGTTATCTGACCATACGGTGAGGTGTGGTGAGGCATGACTGAGTATGATTACTTCACATTGTGCTGAATAATTACCGACCTATGATCGTGTTAACCGGAACTGGACTTCTTTGTCATTTCATTCAAGGAGTAACTGTTCTAACTGTCATACAAAGCCCCAAAACTTTCAGAACTTTGATTGCAACTGCACAAAAAAAGACATTTTTTCCAAGAGGGATTTTTTCATGAGTTGTTTTCAGATGAGTTCAGAGTTGAAAATAATCACTGCATCAAAATGATATTGTCTGCACACCCTGAGAAAAATGCTTTTTGATAGAAATAAATCAATTTGGTAGCTAAATAAAGCTACCTCAGGTATGTAAATTAAGCTATGTAGGTTAATCAAGCTATGTAGCTAAATCTAGTGATTGTACCAGACCTGATGTATACATTATCTACAATAAAAATGCAATATAACGTACAGGACTGTAAAATTAACCCTACTAAATATCAGGGACTTATTTTATACTTGCCAACTTAGGGAATATACCTCCTTCAAGTCCCTGAAAAAACTAGGAACTATTAAAAAAGACTATTGCCTACTGACATCTAATAGAGCTAAACTGAGTAATCTTTTCATTCAACAAAGGAATATAAAAAAACAGTTGTCGGCAGAAGTCTTGGGATACAGTCAATCTGTTCGACCAGAGTGCAAACTGTTGCCAGCAGCCTGCAGCCTTGGGCAACAGCTTGCACGCTAATTCAACACATCGACTTATTTCCAACTACCCCAGTCAACAACTGTATATTACTACAGAGATTTTCTGTGACTATCAGACAAATTCAGTTGACATTGAACATATGGAAGAGCATCTTTATGAGACGGGGGATAATTTGTTCACAGCTTTCTTTAATATCTTCCTTCTATCTTGCTACAGTGGTATCCTATTAACTTGCCAGATTTTCTTTTTTGAAACACATTTGTATTTTTTTTTTTGAAATTTCTCAAGAAGAGGAACATATGCTAACAAAATAAATATCAAAGAAAAATAGTGTGATATTTCAGGGAGTCTAGAAATAGAATATTTTTGCATCTGCCTGGAAAACATGCTTGTTGACATTCATAAGGAACTATGTTAAATAATGTTGTTTTAAATTATGTTTTTAGGCCAAATGGATATGTCTTCCTACAAGGACAGTTTTTATTTTAACTTCATTAAAAGGAATACAGGTAAATGTCTCCATTCATACTGTATAGCAAGTTTTCTTGAATGAAGGGTGTAAAATTTTACGTTTTGCCTGCTCAAAGGTATGCCAATAATTTTGGCGTATTTTATTTTAGCGGACACAGAATTTCAGCTGTTTGCAGATGAATGCTTAGAAGACTCAAGAGTACTTACTATTTTAGCGATTAAAATAATAGTGGGCTACCATCAAATCAACAAAATAAGCTAAAATTAGCAACGCGCTAAAATAACATGCTATACAGTATTATATGTAGCAGTAATAGTATAAACAACAATCATGAAAAGTTAAATGTATACATGTATTGTAACAAAGTCTTTCCCTTTTCCTTGCAGGGATTTTCCACCCCAATTTGGGAATGGGGCCCAGGCCCTTACTATTTGGAATTTTACAACATTTTACAACTTTTGGGGAAATTTTATAGCAAGATGTATTTCAATAAATTAACACTTAATGACTTATGATAGGTAACATTGATTTTTTACTTCGTTATTCAGAACTTTACTTCAGAAAATAGATCTACCTGTATTATGATAAAGTTTAGCCAAGTCTCCAAAAATTATGTTCATTTCATTAAGAGTTCAAACCTAACCAGGTTTGTTTCACATAAATTTTTCAAAACTTAAACACAGGCTGCTCATTTTTGGGAAAAATGGAGTGATTTTACAATTTGGAATTGGGCCCATATTCGGCCCTACAAGGGGTAGTGGAAGATCCCTGCCTTGTTCATCCTTAGAGTCTGTATTTATTCAGTAGAATTGCCTATACTGCCTAATAAGTGTTTTATTATCAAGAGTTTATAAATATGAATGTAGACTAAAAGTTTAGTAAACATGTACATGTATATGGAATTTTAGCATGCGTTGTAAGTATCCTGGTTCTAATTAGTGTTTTTTTTTTCTTTTTGTACAGATGTTTGAATCAGATGGGTCTGCAATGATATACTGGCATGCTCTAGGTGATATCAACAGCACAGACATATTAGGTAATACATGTATAATCATGATTTTTACCATACACCACAAAGTAGCCATCTTAACATATTTTATGATTTGTAAAATAGGTAATGATTGATTTTATAAATTAAATCAGTCAATTAAATGCTACATGTCTCATGATTTTACAAAGGAAGAATCATTAAAATTTCCTATGTGACTAGGAGATTTGTACCAAACCTGATTTTAAGTATAGGTAACCTACACAATGTCCTTTGGATAAAAAGGAAAATCGAACTGAAAGAAGAGAAAATGGTTGTTGGAAGTGAAATTATTTTGTCTGAATAATGACCCTGAGCATCTAACATACATGTACACTCATCTTGAAATATTTGGTAACACTTTGTTTCAGAACATGCCAATTTTGGAAGAGGAATTGCAGGAATAGGAGAAAATTTTATCTGTATTGGTAAGCTTCTTGTTAACATATTAAGCCTTATAAAGACATATATTTTTTGCTATGAAGAGATGATGGAAGAAGGGTATCAGATACTTTATGATGCAAAGTTTTAAGGAATAATTTCTCATAAATACCACATATAACAAATTCAGTTTTTGTAAATTAGAAAATTTTGATTTGCCAAGCTTTGATCTGTGCAGAATTCATGGGCTGACAGTTTTGATGATATTTTTGTCTTTTGTCTAGGTACACAGCTGGGAGAAATTCACGTATTTAATGTTCCAGCCAAAGGAACAAATGTCACATTGAAAGGAAGCTTAATAGGTAAGTAACCAAAATGTGATGTCAGGGCAACAAACTGTTAATTTCATATTCTACAGATCCTGGATGAAAAAGCATATGGCAAATATGTTAATAAAAATATTACAATGAAGTTTATTTTCTAAAAGGGTGGAAAATGCTCAAGATTATAAAAGCTAATTTCCTCAGTATTGTTTTCAATTGATAGAACATTATAATGATTGTAGGACATAGACACCCTGTGTGTGATTTAGCTTCTAGTGGAAACACCATGGTCAGTTCAGACGAGCAAGGAAACATCATCATCTGGTCACTCTCAGGGACTAATTTTAAACAGACTCACTCCATTACAGGGTCAGGGTAGGTACTCACTCAATCACACGGTCAGGGTAGGTACTAACTCAATCACAGGCTCAGGGTAGGTACTCACTCAATCACAGGCTCAGGGAAGGTACTCACTCAATCACAGGCTCAGGGTAGGTACTCACTCAATCACAGACTCAGGGTAGGTACTCACTCAATCACAGACTCAGGGTAGGTACTCACTCAATCACAGACTCAGGGTAGGTACTCGCTCAATCACAGACTCAGGGTAGGTACTCACTCAATCACGAGGTCAGGGTAGATACTCACTCCATTACAGGGTCAGGGTAGGTAGTCACTCAATCACAGGGTCAGGGTGGGTACCCACTACATCACAGGGTCAGGGTAGGTACTCACTACATCACAGGGTCAGGGTAGGTACTCACTCCATCACAGGGTCAGGGTAGGTACTCACTACATCACAGGGTCAGGGTAGGTACTCACTCCATCACAGGGTCAGGGTAGGTACTCACTACATCACAGGGTCAGGGTAGGTACCCACTACATCACAGGCTCAGGGTAGGTACTCACTACATCACAGGCTCAGGGTAGGTACTCACTACATCACAGGCTCAGGGTAGGTACTCACTCCATCACAGGCTCAGGGTAGGTACTCACTCCATCACAGGCTCAGGGTAGATCCCAGGCTCAGCTCAGGGTAGGTACTCGCTACATCCCAGGGTCAGGGTAGGTATTCACTTCATCACAGGGCCAGGGTACTGTAGGTACTCGCTTCATCCCAGGGTCAGGGTACATGTACTAACTCCATTACAGATAGTCAGGATTTGTTAGAATAAGTATGCAGTCCCCATTCTTTCAAGTACTAGATAACATAAGAGAGGATTGATATTTTTGACATACTGGTATTTTGATAAATGTACATGTATATAAATTATTTTTCAGATTTCCTTGCAGTAGTCTTGCCTTGTGGAAGAATGTTATTGTAGCTGGATTTGGTAATGGTCAGATACGACTCTACTCGGCAGAAACAGCTAAACTGGCGGTTCAGGTTAATGCTCATGCTCGCTGGGTCACCGCCTTAGATGTGGCATCTGACAATGGAATGGTAGGTTACAGGCAGAGAATGTGTCCCTTATGTTGTATTGATAGACAATCTGCAGATACAGCTTTTTCCCAGTTACTGTAAATCACAAAATTTTTGCTAGGAGTCATTTTAGTGAGATTGTTTAATGATTGGTATACTGTCGACGTACTTTCCCCTTTTTCACTTATTTTTTGTGAAAGCCCATGCAGAATCTTTAGCTTTTTCAGTAAGTGCTAGTCTGTTGAAGTTTTCAAATTAATTACATTAATTTTAGGTGATGTACGTGAACACAATTTTTCCACGGAAATTTGTCACAGCGTACTTAAGATTCATTAAGGACATATAATGGCAACCCAAGATATCTGTATAATTTCATACTCGCGGATTGAATAGAAATTTTGTTTCCACGGAATTATGACCACATGGAATTATAAGTGCTTTTACAGTATTTATAAACAGAACAAAATTTTCATGAATTTTGGTTATTGCTCAATGTATTCTTTAATTATAGTTTTTAATCAGAATTACGCTATAACCAAGAGGGAAATTTTCATGAGCAGATCACCTTGCCTAAATAAGCAAAAAATAAAATTTTCCTGAATATAAAGTAATTTACAGTATATGTACTATATTCCTAACCTCATATTGATTTATATTTTCAGCTGTTATCAGCGAGCGAGGATTCATTTGTGCGAGTGTGGCAGCTAAAGGAAGGCAACCCTATGCCAGAGGTATGGAATTCATCTTTTGACTTTTAAAATATTACATTGAATAAATCCTGTATGGAAATAAAGGTACATGTATTAGTAATTTTATAGTTAGCTAGAGAAACTAGAGCTAGAGAAAAGCCTCAACTTCCAAAATATGGAGATTATTTAAAATGAATGTATAAAAATGTACTGTTAACCAACTTTTATTTGCTTGTAAGAAATGTCTGACAGTTTCGTGACCTTCTTTATCTTGCAAATATTTTTCACCACCAATCATTTAGTTTACTGTATGTTTGTAGATATTTTAATCAAGAAATGATATTAAACTCATAAATAATAGTTGGGTTACAGTATTATGGATATTAAATGAAGTATTTTTCTCCTCCCCAAAGGCAAGGAGATGTTCAGGATGGTAATTAAATCATCAAGTTTTAAAGTTAAATTTGATAAACAAAAAGTGAATTATTCTACTACAGATTGAGTACTTATACCAGGAGTGTGTCACGGACCAGCAGTTGGTGGGGGTGCAGTTCCTCCATCCCCAGGGCAGAGCATTCTGTACCACAGGGTACGACAGCTGTGATCTCTCCTTCTACGTCCAGAGCTAGACTCGGTGTGATGGACAGTCTAATGTATCAATAATAGGGCTGGGATGTTACATGTATCCTGTGATAAAAACTTGCAGTTGAACCTAATTATGGTGAACTTTATGGGACTGAGGAAAAACTCCAGGGATTTGAGATATCCAGGGTTAAATTCCTTAAATAATAAGCCGTTTGGACTTCAGGTTTACTTTGACATATCCATGGTATTTAAGATATAGGTATTCAACTGTACATGTATCCTGTGATAACATGCATATCAAATGGTTAAGATACAGTATGTCATGTGTTCTGATAGTTTTCTTTAGTATATACTTACAAACCAAAATTCTGAAAATTAAACACAGTTAGGTATTATAAATTTTTAGGGTTTTTACTCTTAATTTTATTTTTAGAAATTATATTTAGTGGTTATTAAGTACAATATTAATTAAATACTAGTACTAGTTGTGCTAAAACTAATTTAGAAACTTTTTAAATCACCTTTTTGTGACTTAAATTCATTCCTAAAATAAAAATATTTCATACCGCCCCAGCCCTATGGAAGTGTGACTGTAATATACATGTACCGGGGTATGTTAAATATGTTAGATCTCCGTTATTATTTTACAGATCATTGATATGGCTGTAACTTATTGCATTTGTTGTACAAAATGTTCATTTTATTGCTTGTTGGCTTTTTGTTTTCAGATGAAGAAAAAAATGTAAGGATTTTTTTTTAATTGATTGTTTCCAATGAATTCTTACTTTCATTTCAAATTTTTCCTATGTTCAGGCAATATAAACTCAAATTTTGGTCTTATTATTAGATCATGACTTTGTTATGTATGAAAATGAATGTTTTTGTTATTGCCTTTTTTAGATAAACACGTGTACTTTAAATACTTCTTTGTTGGCTTGTTGAGGATCATAATTATATTATTTGTCTGACAATTTTACATGTAAATGAACATTTAAGGGGAAAGCACTTTAAATCACCTGACATTCAGAAATTTGTACATAATTTTGTTTTTAAATTGTGCATATATAGAGAAAATCGATGTAAAGTTTAGTGCAATGCATTTAAATTTAAGTTTAAGCTCTGAAATTTCACAAGACACTGTGATATTCAATTTTAAACTCCTAATAACATAGGAGGAAAACCTAATTGGCCTTTTGGAAAAGTAATTAACTTACAGTAAATGAAAAATTTATATTCCATATAGTCAGTCGTTTAAAACTCTCACAATATCTGAGATGTCTCAAAATATAGTGAACTACAAATGAAACGTTATTTTTAGATAACGGATTTTAAAAGAGTACATGTACATGTGTATTTATTTTGATGCTCAATTTGTAATTGTGTAGTTGTCCCAGATTTTCTATTGTTACTTCTTGTTCAATATTCTAAATGTGTTCAAAACAAGTGAAACAAATTGTTGTGTAACAGTAGCTTAAAAATCAAGGATACAATGCTGTATGATAACAAAGATGGTTGAACAGATTGAATTGGCTCTTAGTCTTAATAATTAATCAAGAAACATTGACCAAGGGTTTTAATTAACGACTTGTGTTATATAGCTTCACTAAATGGTGTTTGTAAATGCATTGTGTGCAAGCAGTAATGTATATTAAATTTTACATTTTGTAGTGGTCATAAATTCGTGAGACTCTCTTTGCCTCGAAAACAATGAAATTTAAACCCCCACAAAAATTAGTGATTTTACAGTACATGTATTTATAATTTGTTTTAAGCTCACCTGAGCCGAAGGCTCAAGTGAGCTTTTCTGATCACCTTTTGTCCGTCATCCGTCTTGCTGTCCAGCTGTCCGTCCATCTGTAAACTTTTCACATTTGTCTTCTTCTCAAGAACCACTGGGCCAATTTTGATCAAACTTCGTACAAAGCATCCATGGGTGTAGGGGAATTTAAATTGTAAAAATGAAGGGCCAAGTCCCCTCACAAGGGGAGATAATCAAGAAAAGACAAAAATAGGTTGGGATCATTAAAAAAATCTTCTCAAGAACCACTGGGCCAGAAAAGCTGAAACTTATGTGAAAGTATCCAGGGGTAGTGTAGATTCTAAATTGTTCAAATCATGACCCCTGGGGGGTGGGCAGGGCCACAATGGGGAATCAAAGTTTTATACAAAAATATATAGAAAAAATCTTCTCCTCAAGAACCACATAGCCAGAAAAGCTTAAACTTATGTGGCAGCATTCTGGGGTAGAGTAGATTCTAAATTGTTCAAATCATGACCCCGGGGGGTTGGGCGGGGCCACAATGGGGAATCAAAGTTTTACATAGAAATCTATAGGAATAATCTTTAAAAATCTTCTTCTCAAAAACCACTGGGCCAGAAAAACTGAAACTTATGTGGAAGCATCCTGGGGTAGTGTAGATACTAAATTCTTCAAATCATGACCCCCGGGGGGTTGGGCGGGGCCACAATGGGGAATCAAAGTTTTACATAGAAATCTATAGGAAAAATCTTCTTCTCAAGAACCACTGGGCCAGAAAAGCTGAAACTTATGTGGAAGCATCCTGGGAAAGTGTAGATTCTAAATTCTTCAAATCATGACCCCGGGGGGTGGGCGGGACAACAATGGGGAATTTCAAAGTTTTACATAGAAATCTATTGGAAAAATCTTTTTCTCAAGAACCACTGAGCCAGAAAAGCTGAAATTTATGTGGAAGCATCCTGGGGTAGTGTAGATTTCAAATTGTCTAAATTATGATTAGTGGGGTAGGATGGGGTCACAATATGTATTACAAGAGGATAATCTGGTAAAGAACAGAATGGTCAAAGCTTCTCAGGTGAGTATGTGGCCCATGGGCCTCTTGTTTTTTAAATAACTTAAAGGTAAAAATAAAAAGGGGCTAAAGTTTCTCTGTCTACAGTAGTTTGGAGAACAATTTCGATACAAAACAAAATTTTTTAGGGAAAGGGGCAAATTATATACAGTACAGTATTTCTTTCAGAATGTTTTCTATGATTTTCTCTCTTAGGGTGGAGGGTTTAAAATAAATCCAAACATGAATTCCAAGTTCAACATGTGCATTCACTGTAGTTTAGTATTTGTTACATTTTAGTTTTCATATTTTTCTCAATTTCACAATTATATTAATAACAAGAGGCCCATTAGGGCCTTAATCGCTTTTCTGATAAATTATACAATCTATCCTCTATAGTTACATTTATATATCTTCAGCCCTAACTAGCTAAGAATCATCAAACTTGTCAGTTGATGCATCTTGGGTCTTAAAGACCCAAGATGCATCAACTGACAAGTTTGATGATTCTTAGCCAGTTAGGGCTGAAGATATATAAATGTAACTATAAAATACTATAAGTAGGTCATGGTGACCAGGCAACTTTTTGATTGAAATTTTCTGAGGACACAAGATGCATTAGTTGACAAAGATTGATGATTCTAAGCCAATGAGTACTTGAGATACTCAAAAGTGGGTCACAGTGACCTACTTATTGGTCAACATTCTCCGAAAACCCAAGGTGCATCAACTGACAAAGTCTGACAATTCTAAGCCAATAATTACCCTAGAATACTTAAATATGGCCACACATGTGAGTTAAGGCTACATATGGAGGTTCCTGTGCAAAATATCTATTTAAAATTCCATAATTGCTCTACCTACCGCACAGAAAACGTTAAGACTTACTTTTCTTATACATTATTGGTACCCACGACATGCGATACCCAGTACACATTATGACGTCAAATGATGACGTCATCGACCTTTACTACACAACTTTATAAGAAACATCAACAAAATTGTTTGGGCGAAGGGCATAACTTACTTTATTTTAAAGAAACAAGGTATAAAAAGACGCAGGTTTTCCAAGGATTTCAGATATCGCTGCACAAATGTCGGCACTGCAATTGTTTACTTATTATTCGTGCAGTTTTAAGTTTTAACGGGGTAAAAATTCACTGTCCAGTGTTAGTTATCGAAAATTTTTATCAATTGAGAACGCGTATAGGATTTGTGCAGCAATTTTATTAATTTTAAGAATATTCTCCTTCATATTATACATTATTTATTTTAAATCATATAGGATATGCCCTTGCGCCGACGTGATTTTGTTGATGTGATTTAATACCTTGAATGGGAGAGAACAATGACGTCATAATATGATCATAATGTGCACTTGCATAAATAAACTGTGGGTACTGAGTATGTATAAGAAAATCAATTTGAACCTTCTCTGTACATAAAATATACAACTTATGCATTTTTAATAGCTCATTTGCATAGAAATTCCCATATATAGCCTTAACTCACTTGCGCATAAATATCACCAGCAGGTCACCTGGACCTATTTTTCGATGGTCATTCTAAAAAAATCCAAGATGCTTCAAATAACATAGTTTGATGATTCTAAACCAATAAGTACCCGAGATACCTAAATATAGCCATAACATGTCAAAAGTAGGTCACCGTGACCTACTTTTGGTCGACATTCTCCAAAAACCCACGCTGCATCTACTGACAAAGTTTGATGATTCTAAGCCAATCAGTACCTGATATATTCAAAAGTAGGTCACCGTGACCTACTTTTTGGTCGACATGCTCCAAAAACCTAAGATGCATCTACTGACAAAGTTTGATGATTCTAAGCCAATAAGTACCTGATATACATAAATCTAGCCATAAAATGTAAAAATAGGTCACCGTGACCTACTTTTAAACGTGAATTCTAAAACCAAAGATGCATCAACTGACAAAGTTTGATGATTCTAGGCCAATAAGTACCTGAGATACTAAAATATAGCCATAAAATGTCAAAAGTAGGTCACAGTGACCTACTTTTTGGTCACGTTTTTTGAAGACCAAAGATGCATTTAACTGATAAAATTTGTTGATTTAAAAACCCCTCGGTGTCTGAAATAATGGGATTAAATGTTTTTAAAAGGTAAAGTCATAAACTTCAAAAAGTAGGTCACAATGACCTACTTTTATTTTGACCTTGTTTGAGATCCAAAGATGCATCAACTGACAAAGTTTAATGATCATAGGCCTTAAAGTGTCCAAAATATGCCTTCAAATCAATTTGAACACAAATGCCCGCAAAATTTGAAAAGTAGGTCACTGTGACCTACTTTTGTATTAACATGATGTGAAGTCCTGAGATGCATCAACTTACAAGATTTCATGATCCTAGTCTTTATAGTAAGCAAAATATCAACATTTTTATTAAGTGTAAATTTTGGTCAACTTTGAAGTGACCTTGAGACCACACCCTTTGCCCCAGGGTCATGCCTTGAACAATTTTTAATCTTCAACATATCTCGACCCTTGTTTGTAAGTTTGGTGAAAATCTGCCTGGTGGTTCTGGAGAAGAAGATTTTTAGCAACCAGTACTTTTGGTTCCATTTTCCTGATTATCTCCCCTTGTTTTAGGGCCCCACCCCTAGTTTTAGTACAAATGGTAGCACTTGGGCCAAGGATACCCTGTAACAAATTTGACAATGATTGGCCAAGGGGTTCTTGAGTTATGGTCCATATTCTAAAAAGTTAACGCACACCACACAAATGGCCATAGCATTAGTTCTTTGAGCCTTTGGCTCAGAAGAGCTAACAAGAGGCCCATGGACCACATCGCTCACCTGAGAACTGTGGCTTGGAAAAAGTAGAAATTGGTGTATTGTTGAAAAGTTTAAATCCAAAGAGTCCCATGACCAATCATGGCTTTGCTATTTTTCTTGAGAAGACGATTTTTAAAGAATTTTCCTATATATTTCTATGTAAAACTTTGGTTGGCCATTTTAACCCGCCCTACCCCTGGGGGTCATGATTTGAACAAATTTTAATCTACACTTCCGCAAGATGCTTCCATATAATATGATCAATTATGGCCTTGTTATTCTTGAGAAGAAGACTTTTTAAAAAATTTTCCTATATATTTCTATGTAAAATTTTGGTCGGCCATTGTGGCCCCGCCCTACCTCCGGGGGTCATGCTTTGAACAAACTTGAATCTACACTACCTGAGGATGCTTCCATATAAGTTTCATCTTTCCTGGCACAGTGGTTCTTGAGAAGGAAGATTTTTAAAAAAATTTCCTAAATATTTCTAATTAAAACTTTGGTCGGCCATTGTGGCCCCGCCCTACCTCCGGGGGTCATGCTTTGAACAAACTTGAATCTACACTACCTTAGGATGCTTCCATATAAATATGATCAATTATGGCTTTGTTATTCTTGAGAAGAAGATTTTTAAAGAATTTTCCTATATATTTCTATGTAAAACTTTGGTTGACCATTTTGGCCCCGCCCTACCCCTGGGGGTCATGATTTGAACAAACTTTAATCTACACTTCCGCAAGATGCTTCCATATAAATATGATCAATTATGGCTTTGTTATTCTTGAGAAGAAGATTTTTTAAAAAATTTTCCTACATATTTTTTATGTAAAACTTTGGTCGGGCCCTTGTGGCCCTGCCTTACCCCCGTGGATCATGATTTGAACAAACTTGAATCTAAACTACCTGAGGATACTTCCATATAAGTTTCATCTTTTCTGGCACAGTGGTTCTTGAGAAGAAGATTTTTAAAACATGCCACCAAATTTTTATTATTTCCCAATTA